TTTTTTTTTTTTTTTTTTTTTTTTTTTTTTTTTTTTTTTTTTTAGCATTTCAGTTGCATTCCACTGTTGATTCCTATTGCAGGCAGATTCTTTACATCTGAACCACCAGGGAAGCCCATTATAAAGCTAGAACTCCCCAATTCTTTAAGTGATTTTATGGTAATAGATGTGTAACTGATTTTTTAGATAGAGTTAATTTTTTGAGAGCAAATTTTAGGTTAACAGCAGAATTGAGCACAAAGTACAGACAGTTCTCATATACCTCCTGGCCCCCACCATGCAGTCTCCCCCACTATCAACATCCATCACCAGAGTGACATGTTTGTTGCAGTCAATGACACATCATGATTACCCATAATCCAGAGTTTACATTAGGATTCACTCTTGGAATTGTATATTCTGTGAGTTTTGACATACATATAGTGACATGTCTGCCATTATAGCATCCTACTGAATAGTTTCTCTGCCCTAAAAATCCTCTGTGCTCTGCCTGTTCATCCCTCCCCCTCACCCCAACCTCTGGCAACCACTGATCTTCTTATTCCATAGTTTTGCCTTTCCTACTGTGTCATATAGTTGTAATCATACAGTACATAGGCTTTTCAGATTGGCTTCATTCACTTCGTAATATGCGCTTAAATGTCTTCTTTGTCTTCTCATGGCTTGGTACCTCATTTCATTTTAGCACTGAATAGTTCATTGTCTAGATGTACGACCATACATACATTCACCTACTGAAGGACATTTTTTTGTTTCCAGATTTGGAACTGATTTTTTTAATACATAAATATAACACTTTTTGGCTTTCTCTGTTTTTGTTTTGTTGATTTCCTTCTATTGTTATTACCTATTGAGATCTTTTTGAATTTTAATCCTGTCATGCTACATCTTTAGAAGGCATGCTTGGCAGAATCAGAGGTGAAACCAAGTTGCTGGGAATGGCCACGTCAATTGAGTATACTGGAAGCCAGTACAGGCATGAAGTATGCCGGGATTGGGAAGCAACATGGTGGCCAGTGGGACAGGTCTGATCTGCTCTGGTTTGGATGCAAGATGAGGCTTGGGCAAGCCAGGGAATGACCAGAAGAGTGGATATTACCAGGGAGAATGGTGTAGTTTCCATCATGATTCCAGGAGGCTCTGATTTTAGAGCAAGAATGTGTTAGGGGTTTAAGGTACAAAATATTTAGACTTGGGGAGGCTATTGAGAGCTGAATGGGGTATCTGGTCCACCTTGCTTTGTAAGATGGATTTTGTAGGAATCGCCCAAGAGATAGAAACTAAGCAAGGGAGCTACCACGTCAGATGCCTAACTCGTCAGCACAATATCTGAAGACTCGCATGCTGATTTGAGCCCAGTTTTAGTAATGACTGACTGAAAAATCAGGGTATAGTTGGGTCTCAATGAAGAGGACCAACCTCAAGGATCTGAAGTGGGAAAAGGAGAAATAGCATGGGCTTTGGCAATGCCTTTCGCCCTATCATGGCTCAAAATATTTACTTGAATACTTGGCTACTTCTCTTAGGACTGTTTTTTCTTTCCCCTCAGCTGTAGGTGTAGCCTCCCAGAGAATCCAAACAATCACACTTTACAGTACTGGAAGGACCACAACATCGTGACTACAGAAGTCCACTGGGCCAACCTGACTGTCAGTGTAAGTCTGAGCGCTGCCAGGCAGCTCAGCCTGGTGACCCCTGGGCTTAAGGGGGCCTTCTAGGTAGAAGTGGGGAGCCCTTCAGTAAACTCTGGTGTTGATAGAAATAAAGCTTTTGGGTTTTTTTAGAACACAATTCTTAACTGACTTTCCTTTCCCTTCAAAATTCTCTTGTACATAAAAGGAAAGGAAAATGACCTCGCCCCTCTTTCCCACACACGTCCTGCCCAGTGACCCTACACTGAGGTTGTGTGGGAATGAAATCAGGGAGGATCAGGGGGCAGATCCAGGTTTGTGGGGGGCTTGAAGAACATTCAAGTTTGGAATTCCTCTGTAATAACAACAGTGCAATAGCTGGGGCCATCCCAGAACCTCATGTTTGCTCAGGATAGTTCTGATTTCATTTACAGAAGTGTCTTAGTTAGGACCATAAGCAGTCACCCAAAATGCAAACAAGAGCCCACAGCTGCACAGAGGGCAGGTGGAAGCCACAGGCAGCCTGCATGTCCAGCCAGGATGTCCCTGGGATGACAGTGACAGGAGACAGCAGCTGTTTCCTCCCTCGTGCCTGCCTTTCATCACCCAGAATGTCTATTCCTCCAGGAGTGCCAGGAGATGCATGGAGAGTTTACAGGCTCTGCGTGCGGCCACCACGGACCCTATACTCCTGATGTGCTCTTTTGGTCCTGCATTCTCTTCTTCACTACATTCATCCTTTCCAGCACCTTGAAGACTTTCAAGACGAGTCGCTATTTCCCAACCAGAGTAGGTAGCACACTCTTGAATTTCTTTTGTGTTAGACTTATAATATCACAGAACCCATTCTCA